TTTCAGGAGCAAATATCCACAATGAGTGACATACTTGTCCATTCATAGAAAGTAGACTGACTGATTGCTTGTTTGTTTGTTTGTTTGTTTGTTTGTTTTTTAAATCAGAAAATACCACTTTCCAATTGACAGAGCAAAATCAGAAATATAACGAAAATGTACATCACTGCCAACAAGAGCCAAATAAATCTATTCAAACCAAAAAAATCTCCAAGCAGCTTTAACTCTGCAGGATTCTCAAAAACATGATGCAGGTTTGAAAAAGTAACAATGCAATCCAGGTCAATTAGTTGATTTCTGATGCCTTCCAGAAATCTAACAGAGCTGTTTGATTCTAAGAGATGCTATAGATGGCCAACCTAGAGCAAATTTTTAGTTGCACTTGCATAAAGATATCTGCAGAGGTGAATAAATCATCATTAACAGGAGTTTTCTATGCTCGTAGCAGTAATTAGCTGTTCATGAGGTTGATGACTGGTATTTAAGAGCTGATAAGCATTGTTCGAAAAATGAAAACCTTTCTGACAGAATTTAAACTCCAACACAAAACTTTGCCTAACTGTTTTTAGCAAAGGAACTAAAAAACTAAAGCCTTCAGCACCACATCTATATACAGGAGTTAACAGGTTTCCATTTACACTCACAGCACTGTTCCATCACACTGTCAGATGGTGTTGAGACAATCAGATTAGTGTTGTAGGCTGGACAGTAGTGCTGGCCGATAATTTGATAACAATATATATCGATCGATAGACGTGTGGTGCGATAGAAAAAAAACGGGTCGATAAAAAGTTCGATAGAAAAACACAGTTTCCCTTTCTTTTTCATCATAGCCTATCATGTAGCTTTTACTACAGTCATTACTTCCTCCCACCAATCACAAACGCAGACCCAGGTATGCTACGGCACCAAGCCCAGCCCCTATCAAACCACAACAGACAGCACGTGTATTAGAAAAAATGTTACAGCAAGGAGAAGCGGAGGACATTGTCCCGAAAAAAGGTTTCAGTAGTTCACCAGCATGGCAATGTTTTGGTTTTAAGAAGTCTGACAAAAAGCAAACAGCGGTCGTTTGCAAAATTTGCAGAGAATTAGTAAAAACCAAGTCTGGTAACACAACCAACTTGTTTTACCATCTATACCGGTCGCACCCGCAGGAGTACGAGCTGTGTCGGCCGCGCCGCGGCTCCACGTCGTCGTCGTCGGAGGAGGAATCCTCTGGAACCGCGGCTAGCACCAGCACAAAGCAAGTGAAGCAGACCAAACTGGACTTCGTTTCTTGCCAAAAATACGACAAAGCGTCCGAGCGGCATAAGGACATCACCCATGCAGTAACATGCTCCATAGCGAGGGACATACTGCCAATAACTACCGTTGAAATGCCTGGCTTCGACCAGCTTCTAGCCACTCTCGACCCGCGATATGAAGTGCCTGGCCGCAAGTATTTCTCAAACACAGCGCTTCAGGCATGAAAATGGGTCAGGGGTTGAAAAGGTGAGAAGGATGCGGAGGAAATACGTTCCGGTGTTGTGCTGTAGAATGCACCCCTGCATCCCGTCCACTCATTAGCTTCTTAAAGTGGAAGAAAATTAGCTCATATTTTACAAAGACGCGAGTATTTGGATCATGGCTACTAGCAGGGGGTGCATTCGGCAGGGGTGCATTCTACGACACAACACCGGCGTGGATAAGTCCTGCTTCTCGTGCTCAGTTTGCGTATTAAGTCAATCACATGATAATTAAAAAAAATAAATCTCCCGACCCCGGGAGAAATATTTCAGTGTTCAGACACCAGGCTGTGGGCAGTTTCCCACACAGTTAAAACTGGTAGTATGCTATTCCCACCTAAAGCTATTCTGTTTATTTATATATTTGTTTTGTTTATTTTCATCAAAAGACTATTTGAATATTTATTTATCTGATTTTCTGGTCACTTAAGTCTTTATGTTTGTCAGTATTTACTGACATCACTCAGGCCACTTAAGTTGATTTCTTTTTTTTTTTAAGTTCTTTTTTAAAAAACTTTCAGTTGTGGAAAAAAAAAAGGTGGTTGAATAAAGGTTTGAATTTGAATTCAGTGCTTGTGTGTTCTTTATTAAAAGTAGGTCATTAAGACATAGCATAAAACATCCAGGGCTGCAATTAAAATACATGTTAAATAATTATAATAATTATATCGATAATTATCGATATCGATCAATATGATTTATTTTTTATCGATATGCTTTTTTTCTATATCGTCCAGGCCTACTGGACAGGTGAGACAAAGAGGTGCAAGAAAACAGACCCAGAGGGTAGGACAAACTGGCAGCAGAGCCAAATTATGTAATTTTATCAGCCATCTGTAGAGTAATACAGATGGTCTGAAAAGAGCCAATATTGGTCTAAAAATCAGCCAAGGCTTTAACCAGTCTAGCCCTTAGTCATAAATGCCCCCAATAGGAGCCAAGAAGTTGTTACATCAGTTTGCACTGTGCTTGCTTTTCTTCTGTTTTTTTTAACATGCACCAGAGTCTGCTGATCATGATTAGCAAATCATTCTTGTGCAACAAACGTACTGCAAAGGGAAGCTACAACATTTGTCAGACTAAACTACAGTGGTCATATTCATAAAGCTTCCCAGTCTACAGGGGGTTCCTCCTAAAGACAAAACTCAAAGTAAATCCTTCAAATCATTACATTTTCTCAGAGTTTACCATACAAGTTCAGATTAGATCCTTGTTGAGAGAGCTGCTACAGTGAAGGACAGTTCAGCACAGAGAGAAGGACTTCCAATAGGACCTAGAGTTTCTCAAGCTGAGAAGTAAAAAGCAGAAAATACAGACAAATAGTCGAAAGGCTTTCCAAACAAGGAATGGCAGTGAGTTTAATGTTATAGATAGGGTTGAGTAGAGATGACTGTGATCACATGCTTAAGCAAATGTCAGAAAGCAACAGTTAACAAAACGCTTCAGTGGTCTGCACAGTTACAGTAGATCTCATCACGCCTCCTTATTGAGTCCAAAGTTTCTGCCCTTTCTATTAGGGCTGAGCGATAAACCGAAAATTTACCGATAACAAAATTTCCGACAATAACCGATGTCATTTTGCCCATGTCAATATATTCATGTCAACAATAAATAAATTAATAAAAGTTGGTTTTGGATGTGTGAAGGTAGGATATGGTCTCATGTCCCTTTAAGACACTGTTCTTTCCATTCAGTGCATAACAAAGAGGGAAAGCCAGATGAGGAGATGGAGTAAATACTGGCACTGACCCCTACTCACAGATTCCACTTTTGATACAGGATCATTGAAAAGAGATTGTAGTTTTAAATTAAATTCTTAATTTCTTTGAGGGAACCTTCCCAATAGGATCAATAAAGTTGTATCTAATCTAATCTTATCTAATCTAGAGCAAAGAAAGGAGAATGTTGTTTACCACATCCCCTAATACAGCACTCAAAGGCCAGTAGGCTGAGAAAGAAAGAAACATCTTTCTGTAGGCACTCCTCTATGTCTTCTTTCATTCAGGCTCTTGTTACGCCAGGAGAACAAATAGCCGCTGATCTTATCTGACATTAATCTGTGTCACTGGATTGTATACTGCAAAAACAGGTTGAGCAACATTGAAGAAATATAATACAATGATCTAAAATTTACCAACTATACAGTACACTGTGTGTTTTTTGTAATTTAAAGTGGAAGAACAGCTGATTTAAAGATAAGTTTTTACAGCTTTATATTTCACAACTCACACCGATGAGCACGCAAAAACAACTTCCTTTAAGTCCTATCTTCAGTAGATATAACTAAATGGACTGAAACTATGCTGAACTGGTCTGCAACTGAAGGAAACTATAGCCAAACTTCCACCACTATAGCAGTCAAACTTTGGTGACAATTCAAACAACATGAGCCAATAGAGGCAAAGTCATTCAGGGAGAAATTGAACGTCAGGTTAAATCAGTCTTACTAATATCACTCTGCACTGGGAATAAATAGAGTTGGTTACCTTCCAAGTTGTGCTCTGCCTGCCCCTGAATTAAGGAAAGTCACCGGGACACTGCAAAGTCGCAGCAAAGCCACCAAATTGCAGTCCAGTGAAGTGGAAGTGACCTTACATTGATAGAGCCAATCTGCAGCATTGCTCTACCTCCTCTTAATAAATTGTTTTTGTGCAGGAGAGTAATAACAGATGTTTCCTGTGACCCAGTACGACCGATTGACTTTCAAATCTTGCAATGTCACAATGCTAGATAAAAAGAGTGTTACATATGTAGAAGACCATAATTCACTCTAGTGCTGAACTTAATCCCTCAACTGATGTGAACAGTAACTCTGTACACTGGCATATAGAAGCCGCTTTGGTGTATAGTTATGTCATTACACTAAGTGCGAAATGAACATAGATTAAACATTCTGATTAAATCTATAACATGTTCAAACTTTCTGTATCTCAGTTTGTGGTGCAACTGCTCTCGCCTGAGACCAGCTTAGCTCACTTAAATTCCACACATGAGACAGTATAAGAGCAAAACAGCAAATGTGCAGATATCCTGAGATTCCAACATGCGTTGAAAGTGATGAAATAGTTGCAGCAAAACTACCATAGAGCAAACTCTTGTAGGTCTCAGTTTCGCTGTAAACAATAAGTCAAACATGTGACTGTTAGGTTTACGAATAAATCTAATTTAACACATCATTACACAGCGTATGCAGCCAAAATACCGTTTTCGCTTAGTAATTGAGTTTACCTTGCTTGGAATCCTTAGGTTCTCCACAGGACTGAGGTCTGCCATGCTCTCTTGAGGGCTTTTGAGACCCTGTCAAAATAAGACTCGAAGTTAGACCTGAAAGCTGCCCAATAGTGTGAAGAGACGTTTACACTTTCTCTGCTGAAAATCGTTCCCCTTTTTCACTTATCAACACACTGCACCATTCAGTGAAAAGTGGAACTGGTGGGCAGATTTCTGTCATAGATAAACTGTGTTGTGTTCACTGGTGAATAAGTGAGTTTTACATTACTGCAGTGAAAACTGAGAACTTCCCTGACCGCCCAGTTTCCCCTATCATTGTCCTTGTCTGATGGAGTGACGTGAGTATAACTAACACAACAAATATAATATCTTTAATACGAGTCAAATAGTTAGTTTCTGTGATAGAGTGGTTAAAACAGGAGCTTTTTCTCGAGTTAAATATGTCCTTTTATCAGCTTCACGGTGAGCTGTCAAATTAGCCTGTTAGCTTTGCTAGCTCTCGTGCTAGCTGCTGGCAGCTGTTACCGACTAACGGTTGATACCTTATTTTCTGTTCACCTGAAGAGCTGTTTCACTCACCTGCCGGGCCATAAGAGACTTGATTTTCTGCATTGTAAATCCCACTCGTGTCAACAGATAGGTGCTATAACAAAGTGACAGTCCTGTTTTGTTGTCAACGAAGCGCCTCCATCACTATGAGTGGGAAGCCATAGTTGACCGTCACGTGAACACCGGAATGTTTCATGGTATCATGGGAAATGTAGTATATACGATCAAGTGGCTGTCTGTAATTGCCAAATGTTCTTAGTTAGAGATAAAACAAAGTCTGAGGTATTTGAACTATATTTAAATATATACATATACAGTTTAAGATTTCAAAAAACGAATCGTGCATCAATCCATTCACATACCTGCTCTGTTCTGGTATTAAATACATGTACTGCCGGTTTGCCCCACTAGGTGGAAGTAATTCAACATGACAGTATTGAAGTAGACCACAAATGAAAACTGTTACTCCACCACTATGTTTTATCAGTCACCGAGAAGGTGGGTGTTGATAAGATATATTTCTGTGATATCAGAAAAGGGACATGTATTAACAAGTAAATCACTATTCAATAAATATATATTCAAAGAAACACCTGGTCTCTGATTACATCAAAAATATCTGTGAGATTGGATCCACAGTTGGTGCAAAAGTTAAATGATCAAATGAATCTATAATTTTCTCTCTAAAAGTAATTATTCTTGCACTTTTGGTATTTGGTATTGATCAGAGCATTTTGTGCACATACAATTATTGAATAGCCTTGATATCATTTCGTCTAAAACTGCTTAGATACAGTATTTCAAATTTTTGTGTGACATCAGCGCTCAGTTATCCACTTCCACTGTTTACTTTTGTGAGAGTTATCATTTCATCATGTCAACCAGGTCACATGGAATGATATCATTTATGGCTCATTGCCATAAAGCCCGAGGTTTACCATGTAATTAGACCCAGCTATGCTTTATCAGCTGATCAAAATAATGACAAAAAGGCTCATGCCCTCCATCCCATGTGTCTTCTAATTGCCTTGTCATGTGTTTTATTTTGGCTGTGTTTGGTTAAAAGCAGACAGCATGCAGCAGACAGCAGGCACTGAGAGCTCTAGTTCCTGGTTAATGATGCCTCAGGCTATTTCCCAGTCAAATGAAGGTGAGGCCGCTCTCCTCAGGTGAATTTACTCTGCTGTTGTTTGTTAGGCAGTCATCCACAGAGCGGCGCCTCCCTTTAAGCACACACAGAGACGGAACAGATGGCAACCCCTACCCGGAGATGCCATCACTAAGACATAGCACACTCAGTCGGTCACTTCATGCACTATAATTAGAGCAAGATTCATTAAACTGCTTGTTGTTATGCAAGGGAGCATCATGACAAGCAGCACTTTATGACTCAGAGTGAAAATAAGTTTTGTAATAGTGAAATTTATTTTTGAAAACCTTTCTATCTCACTGTTCTGTGTGGGAAAAAAAAGAGCCATCTCATTTTAAAACTGTCAGTTTGCAGCTTCAGTATGACTTATTCTAGACATCTGTGTGCAACAGCATTAAAATGTATTCAAACAGAAGAGATGGCACAATGGGGATGACACATTGTTTTGGTAATAATCATAATCATAATCGTTGTTGAGTCAGCAGAAAGCAAGCTGTTGCTCTCTTAATGTGATACATTAGCTGTTGGAGACAAATTTTCTGTATTTTTTAACCAAATTTTGTTTTGAATCTATCTGCTTTTGTTCATCTCCTTATTCCTCCACCTGATCTCTCTTTCAAGTAAACACACAAAGAAGCTAACAAGCACACACATTTTCATCTACTCGTGACAAGGTGTCAGCAGGAGCAGGTGGAGGGCACTCTGCCACATGCTGAACCATCCGTCTGTTGTTGCCCGTCTCCAGATCTCGCCAGGTACATCGCACACCAATCCAGCAAAGCTGAGAGAGAGGCAAACACTGTGCTGCAATTTCAAGACTCTGAACACAACACTTGTGGGAAGAGAGATTGCAGCCAAGACATCAGACAAAGACTGACTGTGAAGCAGCAGAACTGACATCTTTGCTGGCTTTAGTTATTTGTTTTTTGTCTTTTTTTCAGGATCTGCAAGTGAGAAAGTGTTCATTTCAAGCCATGCTGCCAATTTGTTAAAAAATACATTAAAAAGTACTGATATAAATGCAGAAATAGCTGTTAGAGTCAGTGTCTTCTTCTGGTTGTGGGCGATATGCACCATTTCAAGAATGACCCTGAATATTAGAGATATATTTTAATAAAGTACAAAACATACATTTGGATGCAAACTGTACAGAATCAGTTTTTCTCTGTTTCAGCATTTCATTAAATCTATGATGAGCAGAGGAAATGCTACATTTGTGAGGAAAAAGGGCGAGTGTTTCTATACGAATAAATAGATTTAGACAAAACATAGAAATAGAATAAGTAGAATCTGCAGCATCATCAATGTACAGTATTTACACTTATTTATATATATTTCATACAAGAAAATGCATTCATTATAACACTTGTCTTCTCACAAAACTGAATCTCCTTGGCGTTAATATTATTGATATTCATATAATTTAGTCTTTTAAATTAAATATGTGTTAATACAATCAAACCGAGGAGACTAAGGGCACCGTAAAAATGATATGGTGTAAAATTAGCCACTGCTATTTTGCTTGGTTGAATATGATAACAGTGATCTTTGTTTCTGAATGAAAAAAGAAGAAAAAATTTAAGCTCAGATATACATTCACATAAAAAAAGACTTAATTCAAGCCATACATACACTTTCATCTCACAACAATGTCAAGAAAACACATTTAAAATCCGTCCCAAAGTGTGGGCGATAACAGTGCACGATCAGGTCACAAGTCTCCTTCATCCCTTGTGCAAAAAAGGGCCATCAAATCCAGTTTCAGGCTTTGACAGCAGAGATTAAAGGGAAAAAAGCTACACAAGAGTCTTCAAGTCAAACAACTGCAAGTAACACCAAAACAGAGGTTACTTCAGCAAACTGTGGCTGGGTGTTTCAGGAACGTGTCTGATCACATCATAGATGGTGGTGTGCATATCCTGAACCGACTCCAGACGAGCCAGAGACCTGCACGACGCCTGGGGGACAGACGGGAGGAAAATGAATGCTAATGTTCACAATAGCTCAACGGCAAACAACAGCCTTTATTGTGCTACATTACACACCTGTGCTGATTCCATTTTCCCAGGTATAGACACAAATTCATAGATGCCGAAGTCTTCCGTTGCATCCTCGTGACCTAAAGATTCAAAAGAGACATATGATGAATTTTTACAGGACCCTAAACCAAGATCTACTCTGTTCATCTCTATTCGTCAAAGCAGTATGGCTACAATAAGTTATTGCATTGTTTAACTTTAGAAGAAGGTAAAAGCACGTTTTCAGACGTTAGCCTACCTGAACGATGTGGTCTCTTCTGCTCCGAAAGTGGCCTACAAACACAGCCAGATAAAAAAGGTTATTGCCTCCTGGCATACAGTCATAACAATGATGAAGTAAAGATTTGTAATCCTGGAAATTTAGGGGCACTTACCTGTTATAGATACTCATGAGCACTGTTGGTTAAAGGGACAAAGAGAAAGAGAGAAAAACATGGTTTTACTTTTCAAAATAACCTGGTCTTAGTCAAATAAAGAAGTTACTTTTCTTTGTTTGCCTTCAGTTTGTCTTACAGTTTCAAGCTACCTACATAAATGTTAACCGTCCACATGCAATTTCTCACTCCATTAAGCCGTTAAGTGTCATCTCATGTATGTGAAATTCAAACATAGAACATGTTAAACAGGTTGCAGAGCTGACTTAAGGAGCTAGCATGGACTACTGCTGAAAAACCACATCTGTCAAAGCAGTAAAAGAACCTCTATTTATCTAACCTCTTTTAGGATGGCACGTTCTCCTGAGGAAAAACAGCAGCATGCAGCCGATTACAAACAAGGAGCAGACTGTAATGGCCGCCAGAGGGGAAACAGAGCCACTGTCCTGGATGTGTTTCTCTTTGCCTGTAAGCAAAAGCATAAAGAACACCAGTATGAACATTTTTACCAGGCAATCTTCAATTGAGAAACAACAATGATGGTCCAGCACTTAAACCTGGACCGGCACATCTCAGGTTCTACTTGTACAGTTCAATTTTGAATAGTCATTGTGAGACTTTTTTGTATGTGTGAAGGTTATTTAATGTGATTGATGTCAGATTTTGATGTCAGGTAAGGCTGGGGCTTCAGTGAGTCCTGTAAGTCGGTAAACAGCAGTTTAAATCATAGCCAGTATCAGCAGTGGCTATCAGCCTTTCTCTGTATCACCAAGACAACATATCAATGTCACATTCAGCACACAGAAACTGCATGCTATAAAACTTAGTCAACAAATACAACAGCTGTCGTCCACTGTTTGCTTTCCCAGCCACTGATCTTTAATACAAGCAGCAGGCTCAGAAACCTAGCAACACAGATTAAAAATAATGCCCTCAATAGCCATGTATATTTCATGTTATAGCCATAGCCTAGATTTTCCTTTCACCTGTTGTGTACACAATGTTAAACTTGCTTTTTTTCTACATACCTGGCCATGGTGTTTGCCTGTCATTGTCAGGATAATGATATATCTTCTGTAGCTTATAAACCTCAGTTGTTTTTGGCATGACACACTGTTTACAGAGTGTTTATCTCAGAGGATTCCCAAAACCTACCCACGCTCAGCTCCCTCCTGCCATGTTCCACCTCCTACCCACCTGGTCCAAAGCTGGCCACCACTAGAGTAATCCGGGCTTCGTCCTGCTTCTGTGTCACGTTGTTGAAAGCTCGGCACAGGTACTCCTCAGCCTGAGCAAGTCGATAGAAGCGCACCTCTAACCGTGGGCCTTCAGTGATGACCTGAGTGGAATTCCGGCTCGTGGAGATCCAGACGTAGCTGTTGGGTGGGTTGGAATCAGCCCGGCATTCAAAGAAGACCAGCTCTCCTGGGTTGATGGTGAACACTTCCCCTATCCGCAGGCTCTGGACTGAGTCCACCTCCAGGTTGTAGGGGCCATCTGCGGGGACCGAGATTGGGTCAAATATGATAGCCCAAAGTTGATATGATAGTTATAGTAGGCAACTGTTGCTCTGATTGAAATTGCCTTGAACATTGCTTGCCCTTCAAATTAAGAGCTTGAGAAGACATGTAACAAAAAAAGAAGTACTTAACAACGTAGCGACAAAGAGAGAGTCTCTTACTATTATCTCTACACTGGGCAGTAAATCTCAGTTATGTGTTTTCAAAGCTCCTGTAAGGAATTTATAGCTGGTTATAAAACAGAATGAATTTTAGACTCAAGCAAAGATTGTAATTAATGAAAAGAAGAATGGTTTCTATATTATTGTTTTCAAAACCAGTGCTGCAGGGTAGGTGTCAAACAGAGTGATAGACTGACTGCTACGATAAAAACCTTTGTGACTCAACACATTTGACGGCTATGACAAAGCTTTATTAGGGTTTTTGGTTAAAAAACACTTCAGTGCATAGAGGGCAAAATCACAAGGAGATAAGAGCTACCAAATGGGTCACAAAAACCAAAAGTACCCCACATGTGCTTTAAGAAAGACCTAAGGTGTCAATTCAGTAGTGCTAATAAATTAAAGCTCCTGTGAGTAGATTTTCACAGACTGCCTAAAACATAAACTGAAATTGGTTTAATAAGTAATCAACTGAATGGATGATAGTAGTATTACTTTTAGCAGAATGCTGCCAAATGTTTAATGATGGCAATGTTAAATTAACGACAGCCAAACTGCTCATTTTCATACAGAGAAATTAAGAAACAAAAACAAATGAAATTTTAGGTTTTTCACACGGATGTATAAACTCCTTTACGTCCCATCAAACCAGAGAAGTCAGTTATGTGGAGCCACATTCAAATGAATTCATGGAAAGATTATTTTCTCAGTACAACCTCAGACTCAAAGCTGAACCTTTTTATCAGAGCATCTACACACTTTATGGGCAGAACAGTGGAGCTCTGTGAGGTACATGTGCCTCCATGCAAATAATGTTCCCGATCAACCACGTGTTTTCAGTCAGAAAGAAGTTTGCCCTCATACACATTTACATACAATCTTGCAGTCTGGCTCAGGGAGAACAGTGCGATAAGAGTGAAAACTAGACGAGAGTGGACAAGTGATGGTTATTATAAAGTTAGTTTTGGCAAGGTTCAGGAGGTTAGCGCTGAATACATCCTACAAAAAGATGAATAAATTTAAACTGATCTGGACCTAGTGTGTGCCAAATTAAAAGGGTTATGTAAAAGAAATCACACCTTTAGATAACAGATAAAGGTTTGTGCAGGAATGGTAAGTTCAGAGAAATTTGCCATGATCCAGCCACTGTTATTTGGGAAAATAAGTAGGTAGAACCAGTCCATCTCTTTCAGATCACAAGGCATGACAAAGAGAATGGTCACCTTAAAATCCAGGCCACAGGTGCCTCCATGAATCATGCATAGGAAATAATCCATTTTAGGGCCTGTGTCTTTAGCAGTGCCCACTACTTTGAGTTCAGGGCACTTCTCGGTGGCGCTTGCTGTTGCAAGTACACAAAAGTTGTCCCACCAGACCCCCACTTTCCAAACACTGCAGTCTGATTTGAATCTATTCAATCTAATATTATGTTGCAAGTTGGCATTTTGTGTTATTTCTGAATTTACAGGTAATATGCTTGACTTCCTGTCCAATCAGAGATAGCAGGCTTACCCCCAATTTCCACTACATCCAGAACAGCTACAAAAAGGCTGTATCCCCTGATCGTAGCTGATCGTAACCGTTCAAGTCAATGTGTCAATTTCCACTGGCTTCTTTCCGTTCCACTACAGATCATCAGACTCCGCAGCTGATCGCAAGAGTTCTATTTTTTCCAAACGCCAGAGCATGCCGGATAAATTCAGCACAGATTAACCTGTGCTGGAAAGGAAGTCGAGCTCAGACACAAAATAAAACATCTGGCTTCTTCTCAAAATAAAACACTCCATGTTTCAGGCGGACCATATTTCACATCATGAAGACGGGCAGGGACAAACAAGTGAAAGGTTTATAGACAGCATTTCACCCCGATGACACCATGGATGAGAGGATGCTGATTTTAGAGGCCTAGGAGTAGATTTCCTCCTCTGGAAGGACACAATCTACTGCTTATATGGTTAGTCTATGTGGCTAAAGACAACTTGTTATTGCGTGAATGCATGTGAATCCGCGGGTTCTTGTGAGTTCTTGTGATTCCTGCTGTCTGTAATCCGCCATGAAATTCGCCTCACAAACTAATTCGGTAGGAATTGGCGGACGGTGAAAATCGCCACTGTTCCAGATGCAGTAGAAATCCTGGATTAGACCTGAAATCTCAAATGGTTTTGGTGCAAGGACAACACAGATTTATATTTTGCTTATACTTACAATAGACATTGAGCTCCACACCCCTGCTGTGACGGTCCGGGCTGACAGGGTTGCTGGCCACACAGCGGTACATCCCCTTGTCCTGTTTTCTTACAGGACTGATAAACAGGGTGGAGTTGTCTTGGGAAAAGTGGTATCTGTCGTTAGGACCAAGAGCAATGTTGTCCCTCAGCCACTGAAACACAACTCGTGTTCCTCTTTCAACAGAACAAGACAAAGTTACATTTGCTTTGTCCTCAATCACTGCAGACGACGGGCTCTTCTCAATAACTGGAGACGAAACAGGAACTATGGAAAAACAAGCAGGAAGTGAAGGTCAGTTTGGAGTTTAAGCAACAGATAAAGTCAGTTTGCTCATCAAATCACCAAACCACTTACCATCAACTGATACATGCACAGTTCTCTTCTCCTTTATGACCAATCCTGTCTTGTTATGAAACTCGATGTTGAGGTCCAGCGTATAATCCCCTTCATCGTCTGGGTTTAATTTCCTGATGAGCAGCGAAACGTTTGGTTCTCTAAAGAGGAGGTGGTTTCTGTACATCATGTCAGTGATCGATGACTCTTTGGTGAACGTCACCAACGTGGCTCTGGTGCCGCTTGGCCTTGTGTGCGACCAAGTTCCCTGGATCTCCACCTCGTCCATGGAGAAGTGGGTCTCAACAGACAAGAGCAGGGACTTCCCTTCAATACCATGATGCACTAGTGTGGGGATGTGAATGTACTCAGAGCTCACCTCTGGAAAGAGGAAGACAAAAACAGGAGAGTGATGTGAAATCATTGTGGGTTCACTATTTGCTGTTTGCCAACTGTTTGCCAAATATTAACCTCTGATTGGATAGCAGTTTGTGCTTGTGGAATTTATTTGACGAGATGTGCAAAAGAAGTAAACTGCTATTATACCCTATTATTTTATAAATGCTGAGAGCAACAACGATGTGACAATTTGATCTCCAATAATCTGCTTTTTGGACACTTGAATGTGGCACAAAAAGCTACAAACACGACCTTGACCTATCACTGTCTGTAAAACTGAAAACATGTTGGCTAACTCTTCTCATTTACCAAATTACATGCAGCCAAAGGACCCCAGTCATCATGGGCTTCATGTGTAGAAGCTGTAGTTCTCTGAGTGGACAGCACTGGCTCAAATCCCTTAACCCAATGCCATCCTCAAGCTGCAGGCTCTAATGTTGAAAAATGAAACCAGTCTGGAAGTGTTCAAATCTGCAATTCCTCAAGGGTCCACTTGAGGCTGGCTCCTGAAGCTAAGGTAGTCCCATCAATACCCATGTTAAAAAGCCCGTTTTAAGGCAAGATTAGATTCATTTACAGCATACAAAAAATGGTCTTGGACTGATGGACCATTTTCCTATCATAGGGGATGACTTTTTGTACAACAAATTCTTTTTAAGATAATGGGTTTTGCATAACAAAGGACATAAGCTGTGTAACTGATCTGACTTACATGCAGGCACATTCTAGCGTTTGGCCAGGAGGCTCCAGGCCTGCCTCAGCTCCCTGTTAGCTCTTGCTGGGCTAACCAGGAGTTATTTTGAGTGAGCATTTCCACCATCAATAGGCACATCACTGAGATCCCATCCATGTTTTACTCAGTCTATGGTCAACTCCCACTCTCTGTTTCCAGGTTTCTGTCCACTGTACAAATCCTTTGAACAAAGGCAGTAAATGCTAATGACCAATCTGTGATCAAGTCTGTATTAAACCAACAATATTTAGGCTCATGCGTGGTTGATCACTATTAGAAATATATCTAGTAACAAAGATATGATCATGCCTTGTATAGGCTGCATAACAAGATTCTTTCGATAATCTACATCCTAGTCCCCACACTGAGCAGGTCCTGAAACTCTGGTGAGTTAATATTGACCCAGCACACCACACAGTGTGATTGTTTTTGTCAGACAAGGACGAGGCTTGTCGCTTTGATCCTAACTAGTCCCAAAACAAACACTGGGTCAGTCTTAAATCACTCGATAACTGTTGATCTATAGCACCTTGTTGTCTGTTCTAAAAGCCCTGGCTTGCAGCTAAGACGGTTTATTCTCTAGTAACCTGCTGGGGCAACTTGGAACGCAAACACCAAGAGTGGGAGGAGGCAAGGTTGTTCATCTGCAGTTATTTTCATTTCAAATTAAAGGTATTATTTCATATATGAAAAAAGTAGTTAAAGCACCTGTGAGGAGTTTTTGACACTCATGGAATAGATTTGAATTCATATTGATGCTTTTTTATGTTGTGCAAAAGAGACCATTATCAACAAGATTGACCACTGTGTACTGCACTGTAACTTTTAGTGCTTGAAATTAATGTGAGGGGGTAGGCGTCGACAAAGAAGAAGCAGCCTTTTTTTTTTTTTCCCAATAAGAAATCCACGATAGATGACTTGACTTTGAAAGAGGATGAGATTTTTCTCTTTGACAACATTACTTAAAAGCTCCTGTGAAAACTCTCCTTTTGTATTAATTTTGTCTTTCTTTAGCATGTTGTTTACATGTATAAATAGTGTCTTCTGAAGACAATAGTAATCCTACTGACCTTTGAGAACTGAATGTATCATTTTTTCTGAATGTTTCATCTGAGAATTACAAAAACAGAGCTGGCGGGCGGACACCTATCCCCTTACACCTGTTTCAGGCATAAAAAAAAAACAATTTCTAAAATCATCAGTGTTTGCCCTGCTAGTCTTGTTTGCTTTGGGTTGTAAAATTGTTTGTAAAAAAAAGTATCAATATGAATTTCATAAATGTCAAAAATCTCCTATAGAAGCTTTAAAAGTAAAATTGCTTGCACATTATGGGTTGTTATTAATGTAGTCCCCAACATGGGGTGTGCCTTAATCCACTCAGCTAGCTGCACACTGATTTGGAGGCATAATTAAAATGACCTCTTGGTATGGTATTATTTCAATAATACTCGGCTTGTACTGCTTATGTCTTTAAGAGCATACTCTTAAAAAGATATATGGAAGTATTCACTGACCAAGTATACTTAAACCACAAATGCAACCTTAGGTATATCTTGATCAAAAGTTTATGTATAAGTATAGATTGAATATAATTAAACTTTTAGTATAATTCTTAGTACAAGCCAAGTCTACTTAACATTAACTTTGTTAAGCATATCTCTGAAAAGTGCATAAAAAGTAAAGTAAAATCATATTTAGTTTAAACACAGTATACTTGAAGTACACTTCAACATACTTCTTTTTGATAAGGGTACAACCAGACTGTGGAAAAAATCCAGTCCAAGCATTATATATATATATATCACTGACATTTCCACTGTGACAGATAATTTCGCAGTTCATTTTGACAACTTCAAACTTCATGTTCTGAGTTTTTCTGACAGTTCGAAGTTAAAAAGTGAGCCACTGTGTTTGGATGCCAGGTTGAGTGAAGCAGCAGCCTGTGAGTAGGCAGCACTACTGTGGAGCAAACTTACTAAAAACTCACACTCTCCTCTTCCTTGTGTCCTTTTGTCTCACTTCTGTCTGTGTAGCATCTATTTCTCTCTTTTTCTCTCATTTCACGTTCAATTTACATTGGAAAGGAGAAAATATCGGATGAATTGCCTCAGCCTCTCATCTGTGTGACAGATGTCTTTGTGCATTTACACCTCGAATCACTTATTTTTACCCCCTCCTCTGCCCTCATACCCTCTAACCGCTCCACCTCTATTTCCTCCCTGGGGACACCCAGCGGGTGTCACCCAGGTCCCTGCTTACTTCTGACCATGTTGTACATCACAATAGACTCACTGTGTCTCTGGTGTTATGTCCTAAATAAAACATACAGGGCAGACAGCCCTTCGACACGCTCCACTCTTACAAGCCCTCAGGCTACTTTCTGTGTGTGTGTGTGTGTGTGTGTGTGTGTGTGTGTGTGTGTGTGTGTGTGTGTGTGTGTGTGTGTGTATCAGTAGCAGGAGTGTGCCTGTGTTTACACCAGCTGAGACTTGGTGAAAAGGCAGAAAGAGGAGTGTGCCGAGCCCGCTCCTTCACTGTTGTCCCCAAAACAAGGCACATATTGTTGTGGTGATGCGAAGGACAATAGAGTGTGAGGTGAGAGGATAACTTCATTTAGTGGCCACACACACACACATACACACTAACACATTTAAACAGACCAACATGCACCTGCCTCTTATCACCCTCACACACACATCCCAGATGTTTAGACACTAAATAAAGTGTCCTGGTGCATGTCCTTACGCCGTCATCACTCGCCTCCTTAGAGATAAGACAAACAGCTCCTCAAAGGAGGTTGATGATACAAACAGAGCTGGAGCAGAGCCCACCTTCATGTTTTAGGGGCTTTTTCTCATGTCAGACATATCTGGTCATATGTCTGTTATTACTGAGTCACCCGGCTGTGGCCAAAACCACTTCTGCTTTCCAGTGTCCTGCTCCTAAAGTCCTTCAGTACATGCGCCAACAAGAGAGGAGCTACTCTTATAAAATCACACAAGAGTGATTATGGAGGATACAGTACATGCAAAAAACACCAAATATGCTCAAAAGCAGCTCTCTGAGGGGCTTAAATTTACATCATAAAAGGATGAGGGGACCAACTTCAGTGAATAGCCACTGTAGCCTGTTGATTTTCGACATAAGAGCGCCACATGTTGCATTTTTTAACACAGAGATCTTATTTTTGTTTTTTTAAATTGCATCCTTCTTTACACATTTATTGGCCAGAGTCTTAAAAATCAACATCCAGTCATATTATTCCTTAAATTTGCTATTTGTGGTGATTACAATGCATTTTCTTTCTTATCTCCCTGGTTCAGTCACTATTTCTCCAGACTTAAAAACAATGATTTCATAACATGTCACCCCATTCAAACTCAAACCATGCAAAATCCAGTTCATCTGATACAATTTCTGGTCCTTTTTTGATTTTGCAGCCATAATTTGTCATCCTTAGCCCTCAAACAACAGTAATTTTTTTAATATTTTTTGATAACGGGAAAAACATGAAGCAGTCTTTGAATTTTGTCTCCCACTGAGGCACTGTTTGTCTTTTTTTAGATTTTGCAGCTTGTTTTGTGATATTTTTCAGCTCGAATCCAAAAAACAAGAATTTCACAAAATATCTCTTCTCACAACACAGAAAACATGCTGTTTAAGTATTCAAATTCCCTTTTTGTACCAACACAATGCATTTTTTCCCTTTTTTTACTCTGCAGCCAATCCTCTTCACTTTTTTCCAGTGTTAACCTTTAAAAAGTCATAATTTTACAAGGTTTTAGGTACATTTTGTACAGCACACATGAAAAAAAACTTCCCTAACTCACCCTGCAAGGCAAGCAAACACAGAAACCACAGTAACTGCAATAGCTGCAACAACACAACACAGATAACCCAAACAGAACAGCCCTCCACAGCAACAACCCAGCGCTCACCTGTGAGGAAGAAGAAGAGGAGAACAGAGCAGACGTTAAGCACCGTTCCTCCTGTGGCCTCCATGGCATCTTATCCTCCTGGGATATGTGGGGCTTGTGTCAGGCAGGCGGCAGAGAGGGATGAAGTAAGGAAACAAGTGTAGGAGGAGGAGGAGGAGGAGGAGGAGGAGGAGGAGGAGGAGAGACGTGTGACTGGTTGTGGTGACTACATTTGCCAGGGAAATAAGAGAGAGCTAGCTTTAGCCTACATGCAACCCAGGCCCCTCCCATGTGACACCAGGAGGAGTAAAAAGAAGAAGAAGAAGATGAGGTCCACCTGGCAGACACACAAACACACACAGAGTTCCCCTTAGGCTGATGGTTTCACTCTGTCATAGAGAAACTGAGCTGTAAAAGGATAGCAGAGAGCAGAAACAGTTTCTTTACATGATAAGACACCAGCTGTCTGTCTCCCTCAGGCTGTGAAACAAAGACAAAAGCAGGAAAACGGACAGATTTTGACCACAAACGTCTCACAGCTTAGTTAAGTTACAAACCGTTAATGGTCAGTAATCATTGACTCTGTCTGTGGGGAGTTATCACTGGAAAATAGGAGGACAAAAACCCACAGGCTGACACTCACAGAGAAATATTGTTCTGACACTGACACCCAAATCATTGACTTGTCAAACGCCTGCAGGAGACACACTTTCAACCAGATCAGGTTTCAGATCAGACAGACATGCATTGGTAGTAATTTTAGGTTGTTTTTCAGCCTTAGAGGAGCAAATATCTGCTGTTATTTGAGTTTTTGTATTGCAGTCTAACAAACACAGACAGTATCGTTTTGGAATCAATGTGTGTTTTTGATTCAACTTTTTGTGAGATTTGAAAAATTTTTAACGTGAGAATATTTTGCACACTTTATACCCAATTCAGATTTTAAAAAATGGCATGCACAGCTGTGTTGATTCCTGTATTTTTATATGGAATCATCTTGTCATTAATACCAGGAAACAGTTTGCATATAGCAAAATGATGGCAAAACAACACAGTTGCTGAGACATTGTGTACCCTACATGCCTCTTCAGTAGAGTGTTTTTTCTGCATCCTCTGAAAGGAAACTGCTACATGGGACTCAGTGAATGAATGAGTGAATGAATTAGGCCATTGTAAGTTGTATTAATGGGTGCCCAGTTTGGTGATGGCACCAATAAAGAGACATGTATAAACCGAGGTATGAATACAGTATCTGTTGGTCACATCACATGATCTGACAGCTCCACACAAAAGTGTTTATTCAGGTTTTTGGAAAGTAAATTTTTAGTCTTTATTTCAGTGATTCAGCTTAGGTTTTAGAAATAATCAAGTCCAAGCAAACACTATAAAACCCCAAGCCAAAAGCAGATGTGATAACTGTAAAATTTAAGATAATCTTTCTTTTAACTACTGTAAAGTTTCAGATTTGTCCTCTTCTTTAGAGCAGGCTCAAAACCTGCAATTCTTAATTCCCACCTGTAGATGGAGCCACTGCTTCAGCCATAAAGTATAGACTGTTAGTGGGCTTATGGCCTTAGTTATGCAGCAGGTTGCAAAAAAAAAAGGTTCATTGTTTGATTTCTGCTTTCTCTCAATCGCCAGAATTATTACCTGTTTTTATTGCATTTCCTACTGAGCTTTTTGCCTTGTGGCTCTTAAAGGTACAGTGTGTGTTATTTATTGGCATTACTCAAACTTGGCAAAAATGAAGTATAATGTCCGTGTGTGTGTCTTAGTTAACATTTAACCACCTTTGTTTTTAATAACAAAAAGTGAGATTTAATATCAAAGGGTGGGTCCACTTTTATGCAGGCTGCCACCATATTTCTAAATATCTGTGTTTTTGAGTGAACTGGAAGATGACTAAGAGGAGAGGTTGTCATGTGCAGAATAATGTGTTTTAATACTTATTTTTGGTGGTAAAAACTACACAAATAGACAAAAAATTTATTGTTCTCAAGAGGCTTTCTTCACTTTGCTGCCAGAAGGGGTGAGCAGTGGAGCTCTGAGGAAGTTCTAAAAAAGTTTCCTAATTCTACAGACTTGACCTTTTAAAATCAAAGCCGTGTCCACCAAACAATAGTAGACTGTATATAATCATAAACAGCGCAACAGTTACAACAGGTAAAGCCAAAACTCTCAGAGCTCCCCCTGGTGACCGGCAGCAGTATAGGTCATAAAGCGTATCTCCTCAGCCATGAGAGAAGAACTATAAGGCCAAACTAGAAAATTAAAATACATTTTAGATCACTTTTTTTCAACCATGATCCCTGTCAAAGCAGCATTTTTTTTGGAATCTGATCAAAGCTAGATCAGCATGCCTTGCCTCTATTGGTTTAATATATCAGCACCCATAGAGGCAGTATTTTGGCCTCACTGCAGGATGAGAATAATAGACAGTCAGCTAATGGAAACTGCTGTTTTCTATTGACACATTCAGGCTGTAGTAGAGCGTATTGTCTAATACACCTAACTTTTTTCAACTTTTTTTTTTAGAATTTTTGGGCACCAGTTGAATACCAGTCCCTCCAGTTAACAGTTGCCGCAACGTCCAGTCACAAAAGCAAAACTGCACATCTTGGGAAATTTTCAATGTTTTCATTCAAAAGGGAACAACATATTGTCATAACAATGATGAGTATTGTGAAAGACAAACAGAAGAGGATGTTTTGGTTTACACGTTGACCTTTTAACCCGACAGCTATTGTCCGGTAAGTGATGAGCTCCAAAATCAAGCCTCTTTGAGCTTTTAGAGACAAATGGAAAAGGATCAGACTGAAACCAGTGGATAATTTGTTAGTTTGGATGTTCACTTATTAGGAGCACAGAAGTTTTGTTATCTTGGCCCTGTGCATGTGGTTTAGTCTGAAAAAAGTGAACCAAATTTTGCAATCCCCAAACCCTGTCCACAGTCGATGTTCTTCTTCTTCTCACGTTTTTATGAATGAATCAGCAGATATCTGACACAATCTGGTAGATTTTATTCACCTGGTCATCCTGGTTTCTGAACATCCAGCAAGTCCGTTGGGTGTTGTCTGGTTTAACTTTTATGATCTGCTTTATACCAAAACCAGGACACAGCAGCTGAGTGACACACACATACACATACCCACACATAGGCACACACAACCTCAAGTGGGGGCCCTCTTGGTGCGTTAAAACATGTCACATTTTCCATCTTCAGGCTCACAGCTCATGTCTGAGACTGTTGCCACATTTCACCACAACTCTAATCCTCTGGACTGTTTGCCTCCTCCTCCTCATTCTCCTTCTCATCATAATCATCTTATTAACTTGTTCTCCTTTTGTATGTCACATTTTAAAAAAATGTAATTATTCCCAACTGAACGTCTCCACAAACTTCCTCTTGATCTTTTTCTCCCCGTCAGTATCTTCTTCTTCTTCTGTTTCTTCTTCTTCTTCTTTTTGATCCTTCCTCGTCTCCTCCTTCATTTCTCCTCGTCTCCTCCAGCAGCCTTGGCCTCCAGCTGCAGACACTCAGAGCAGACACAGCACACCAGCCCACATCAAGGCCACTCTATTGGCAAACTTGTGTGCATGAAAGTGCATTTATGTGTGTGTGTGTGCGTGTGCGTGTGTGTGTGTGTGTGTGTGTGTGTGTGTGTGTGTGTGTCTGGTGCAGTCGTTACAGTGGGGCCATATAGGGTGTTGGTGCAGGCCTGCTGTGATATACTGTGGGCTCCAAAACACAAAGCTGAGATCTTACATGAAAGTCAGCCACAGCTTGCTCAGTTAAGGGGCCTGCAAATGTAAAGGATAGGCAACATGACAACTCCCTAAAAGTGAGGCCAAAACAGGTAGAGCTCCCCCTGGTGGCCGGCTGCAGTGAGTATCAGCCTACCCGCTAATGCAGAACTTTTCATATCTGAAAGTGTCTCCTTCAAATGAAGCTGTTCTGTTGCAGACTGAGCCAACCAGAGGGATTTATGGGTATCATTAGTTAAACTCTAGTGTACATGAAGATGCTCTGTTTCAGCACCTGTTGCTGAGGAGAGGTTTGGCTTTTGGAGGAGGTTGAGAGAAGTCTTCAAGCTCTGTAACAGTCAACCTGCAGCATCAACAAGTCTGGGACTTGATAAACCTTCAGTATACCATAGAGCTTCAATTAGCAGCCCAGGCTTTTATTTGTTGCAACTCCCCTTGCCTTTATCATCAGAAAGAGAATAGTGCAACTTTGATGACGACATGAAATGCTCTTTAACTTTATTTATGATGATAAATGAGAGAAAATCGAGGCCAGAGAGAGAAAGAGAAAGAGAGCTGGGTTGAGGAGAAGTGAGAAAGCCAAGAAAGGAGGTGTGGATGTCCACAAGGCCTGTGAGTAATTTGATTGGATGACGAAGTTTCATTCACACAAAAAGATTTATAACAGTGGGAAACATTGAATGTTTGACGCACACAGTGAAGGCTGAGTGAGTGTTTGCATGCATGCATGCGTGTGGGTGTACAAAGGCGCATGTTTTCTTTTGTGTTTGCAACTTCTTTTTTTTTTTTTTTACTGTTGCACCGTTGAACCCTTCTATCTCTCCTTGCATCTGACGAGCACGTTGACTGCATGGACCGGGTGTTTGACCTGGACTGCGTGGGTTTGGAGTCAAAGTGAATCTGCCTCAGCATTCTCTGTCCTGAACTTTAAACAGTGTGTGTCAGTATATATGTGTGTGCGTATGTGTTTATTATGCACAGCTGATCTCCAATAAGACAAAATGCACAAGCATGCTTGTTTTAAACTCTATTGTTTAAAGTCTTCTTTGAGTGCAGCATGGCTACAGTTGCTGTGTGTGTGCATGTGTGTTTTATGTGTGTGGTGGTGGCAAGAGCCTCACCCCTTTAAAGCATTCCACTATCTTGCGCCCACGCACTCTCCATGTGACCCACAGTCAATGACAGGAAATAAGCCTATGTCAAATCCTGCTGCTTTGCAACCCAGATCCTCTTCTGCTCCAAGTCAGAGACTCAGAGGCTTTGTGTGCACAAAACCAAACACGCCCACATATGCAGAGCTCAATGTAAATCTACAGGAATAGAGCAACATAATTAATATCTATTTTCTCTCTTCTCATTGCTTTACCTTTACAGACTCATACATGTATTTATCAAAAAAAACCACAGATGTAAATATAAACTGTGCATTCCTTGCTGCATGTGACAGCATATCTGTGAATGGCAGGTGCAGCACTGATAAAAATTTTCCTCTGAAGTTGTGTTTACATAGTTGACACCCATGCAAATATGTAGAG